AGTGTTGAGATGACGTGTTACTTCCTCCCGGAGTGTGTCCTGCACACACGCAAAACTTGCACAATAGTTCCTTTTTCTTTGTTAAATCATTTCCTGATCTTTACACTTTGCATGAATTTACAACCATCTTAAGTTCATCAGAAAAATATTCTAAAAATACCAGAGGGTTGAGCATGCAAAACGGAGCGAACCATTTTTCCAGCCCGGGCCGCACGTGCGGCCGGACCCTCCGCTCGTGCGGACATGTACCGCACGTGCGGTCCCCCCCACCGCTCGAGCGGCCAAAAACAGTATGCATTTCCAATTTTTTCTTCTTTGTCCGCACGTGCGGCCATGACCTCCGCACGTGCGGTGGTGACCCCTGTTTTGGGGCAGCTCGGTTCCAACCCAAATTTCAATATCACCAAGTCATTTTACATGCAATCTAAGATGAAATTAATGCAATTCATTGACCCAACATCACCATAGCATGAATTGGAACTTGAGCATCACAAACTACACATGTTTAGAAGGTTCCTCAAGTCATCACCTTACCAAATTCCATCTTTTAATCTAAGTTTTTTACATCCATAAAACATAACACAATTCATAAATATAAATTCATGGGGTTGGCATAACAACCAAAACTTGAAGTATAAATTTCTTACAACACCTAAATTAGTTTCAACACAACTAATTGATGAGAAGCCCCTTTGTAATCGAACATGAATCACACCCACTTCTTTATTACAAACTATAAATGTATAAATATGAACCTAATAAACCCTTCCTCACAAATGGAAAGGGGAATTTTTACACATGATCAAGAGAGAGCTTGTCTAGAGTAGATTTAACATACCTTGAGTTCAAATTCTACAACCCTCACAAGGTTTCTTAACTTTCTTCTTGTGGAACTTCCTTCCAAGCCCTATTCTTCCCTAATTCCTCTCTCTCACGAATTTGTCTTGAAATGAGTCTAAGTCAATATGCAAGAAACATGAACACTTATATAAAATGTGAATAAGGACAAAATTTTAATCGTTTAATCATCCCAAAATTGAAATTTCATAAACATGCTTAATATTACTTAAAAATTATGCTGATCACATATATAAAATCAATTTCAGATAATTTAGCTCCTAAGGCTTCCAATTTCTAATTCAAACATGTTAATGGTGACAGATAGTTTCTTTGTGAAACAGATAGACACCCTTACACATGCATTTCACTTACTTAACTTTAATTTCTCATGGGATCTCACAGTAAGCATTTAAAAGTACCAAACAAGGACTAAAAATATATCAGAAATCATGTGCGAGGGTCGGGTTATTACACTCTGCCCCCCTTAAATAAGTAGGACGGAACATATATCAGAAAACATGTGCGAGGGTCGGGTTATTATAGTTCGTCTCAAGAGTAAGTTTTGTGCTCGTTGAGCAGTAGTTGTTTGCCATAATGGTTTTTTAGAATTCTTACTGAGGTTGACTGATTCTCTTGAAAATTATCCCATTTTTTCAAAACTGGACCATTTCTTGGACCCAAAAAAGGAAAATTTTCAGTGCTCATAGCCTAACTTGAATGATTTCAAATCAGAAAATTGAACAAGTATGTTAATCTAACTCTCATTTTGGTCAAAATTATTTTAGTAGAAAGGCAAAAACAAGAAATGGTCAAAATGATGAACTAGGGGCACAGTTGAGTCAGGTGTTCTGTCTTTTTCCCTTTATCAATGCACTTGCCAGAAAGGGCACTCTACTTGCCGGAAAGGGCACCGTATTCGCCAGAAAAGGGCACCACTGAAGCTGACCGTAAAAGGGCAAAAAGCTCTCACACCCTTCAAGCAACGAGGTATCAAGCCAAGTATGAAGCACGAACTGGAATGGATCAAGATATTCCACTTCCTCATTTGGACAGATCTGATCACGTCCAAACTTCCCAGCAAAGCATCATCAACCGATGTCAGCTGCAAATTCGCTACACATCCCATCTTAGTGCAACCCCTCTGTGAGAGGAACTCACTGGCTGTGAGCGGAAGAAAGAGAATCTAGCAGCATGCTAAGGGCAAGAGCCCGCAATTTCTTGTTTATCCATCAACCACCCAAGGGAGGGATAGAAAATGAGAGATTGAAGAATAAAGAGATGTGCGCTGAGAGAAAAAGTGTGGAAAAGGACTTTTTCAGAAAAATAGAGCTTGAGGGCCGAGTGATGTGAGGATCACAAATGAGAAAGGGTGGGAAACAATACCCGGAGAAACAGGCTCCCTGTGCACGTCTGAGTGTCGTGTCTTTTGTTTTGTCTCGATTATTGCTTGCTTTGAGTCGTTCCGAGCATGTGTCTTTTCTGTGCCTTGAATTCATTGCATCAACCTAAGTTTTCCAAAACTTTTTGAACACTGCGGTGAAAACGAAGAGGAAGGAATTCCTCGGGTTTT